CACCATCTACCTGAAGGCATGAAATGAGTAGTCCTAGGGATGGGAGTTCCACAACCGCCACCCCCAAAAGAAAAAGACAGGTGGTGGTGGTCGGGCAGTCCCTCCTAAGAGGGACTGAGTTGTCCATCTGTCATCCAGTCCTACAATCTCGAGAAGTATGCTGCTTATCAGGAGCTCACATTCAGGATGTGACCAAGAGTCTTCCAAAAGTGATTAAACCTTTGAACCCCTTCCTGCTTCTCCATGTAGGAACTAACGATATGGCCAAGAATGACCTTGAGGGGGTCACAACAGATTATGTAGCACTGAAAAGAAGGTTCAAGGAATTTGAAGCGCAAGAGGTGTTCTAGTCCATCCTTCCTGTTGAAGGAAAAGGTCCAGGTAGGGATTGTCGAATTGAGGAAATAAATGCGTGATAGCGCAGGTGGTGTCAGAGAGAGGGCTTTGGTTTCTTCGACCATGGGACTCTGTTTTGGACACAAGGACTGTTAGGAAGAGATGGGATCCACCTAACCAAGAGAGGAAAAAGCATCTTTGCAGGCAGGCTTGCAAGTGAGGAAGGCTTTAAACTTGGTTCGTTGGGGGACAGTGACCAGAGCCTTGAGGTAAGTGAGGAAGTTGGATACCGGGAAGAAACACAAGGAGGAATGAGGAACAAAGGAGGACTCCTGACTCAAATGGAGAAGGTAGGGCAATCAACTGGCTATCTAAGGTATTTGCACACACATGCAAAAAGCCTGGGAAACAAACAGGAAGAATTAGAAGTCTCGGCCCAGTCAAGGAACTATGATTTGATTGGAATAACGGTGACTTGGTGGGATGACTCCCATGACTGGAGCACTGTCATGGAAGGGTATAAACTGTTCAGGAAGAACAGGTGGGGGAGAAAAGAAGGAGGAGTTGCATTGTATGTAAGAGAGCAGTATGATTGCTCGGAGCTCCAGTATTTAAGAGGGAGAAAAAACTGTTGAGAATCTATGGGTTAAGTTTAGAGGTGGAAGCAACAAGGGTGATGTTGTGGTTGGTGTCTGCTATAGACTGCCGGATCAGGTGGATGAGGTAGATGAGGCTTTCTTCGGACAACTGAGAGAAGCTTCCAAATCGCACGCCCTGGTTCTTTGGGGGACTTTAATCACCCTGACATCTGTTGGGAGACCAATACAGCAGTACACAGACAATCCAGGAAGTTTTTGGAGAATGTTGGGGATAACTTCTTGGTACAAATGCTGAAGGAACTGACCAGGGGCCATGTGCAGCTTGACCTACTGCTCACAAACAGGGAGGAACAAGTAGGAGAAGTAGAGGTGGGTGACAACCTGGGAAGCAGTGATCATGAATTGGTAGATTTCAGGATCCTGACCAAAGGAAGAAAGGAGAGTAGCAAAATACACACTCTGGACTTCAGGAAAGCAGACTTTGACTCCCAGAGAGAACTGATGGGCAGGATTCCCTGGGATGCTAATATGAAGAGGAAAGGAGTCCAGGAGAGCTGGCAGTATTTTAAAGAAGCCTTATTAAAGGCACAGGAAGAAACCATCCCGATGCACAGCAAGAAAAGCAAAGATGGTAGGCAAACAGGTTGGCCTACTGGGGACATCCTTGGTGAGCTTAAACACAAAAAGAAAGCTTACAAGAAGTGGAAACTAGGACAGATGACTAGGGAGGAGTATAAATATATTGCTCGAGAATGCAGGGGAGTTATCAGGAAGGTGAAAGCGCAATTGGAATTGCAGCTAACAAGGGATGTGAAGGAAAACAAGAAAGGTTTATACAGGCATGTTAGCAATAAGAGGGTGATCAGAGAGGGTGTGGGGCCCTCCTTACTGGATGAGGGAGGTAACCTAGTGACAGATGATGTGGGAAAAGCTGAAGTACTCAATGCTTTCTTTGCCTCTGCCTTCACAGACAAGGTCAGCCCCCAGACAAATGAACTAGGCAACGCAGTATGGGAAGGAGGTGGACGGCCCTTGGTGCGGAAAGAACAAGTTAGAAACTATTTAGAAAAGCTAAGCATACACAAATCCATGGGCCCAGATTTAATGCAATTGAGGGTACTGAGGGAGTTGGCAAATGTCATTGCAGAGCCTTTGGCCATTATCTTTGAAAACTCATGGAGTTCGGGAGAGATCCCGGATGATTGGAAAAAGACAAATGTAGTGCCCATCTTTGAAAATGGGAAGGACAATCCAGGGAACTACAGATCAGTCAGCCTTACTTCAGTCCCCAGAAAAATCATAAAATCATAGAGCTGGAAGAGACTTAAGGAGGTCATCAAGTCCAGCCCCCTACCCAAGGCAGGACCAATCCCAAATCATGGAGGGGATTCTCAAGGAATCCATTTTGAAGCACTTGGAAGAGGGGAAAGTGATCAGGAATAGTCAGCATGGATTTACGATGGACAAGTCGTGCCTGACCAATCTGATTAGCTTCTATGATGTGGTAACTGTCTCTGTGGACATAGGGAAGTCAGTGGATGTGATATATCTTGACTTTAGCAAAGCTTCTGATACAGTCTTCTACAATATTCTTGCCAGCAAGTTAAGGAAATATGGATTGGATAAATGGATTGTAAGGTGGATAGAAAGCTAGGTAGGCTGTCAGGCCCAACGCGTAGTGATCAACGGCTTAATGTCAGGTTGGCGGTCAGTTTCTAGCAGATTGCCCCAAGGATCCTTTCTAGGACTGGTTTTGTTCAACATCTTTATGAATGACCTGGATGAGGGGATAGATTGCACCCTCAGCAAGTTTGCAGATGACACTATGCTGGGGGGAGAGGTAGATACGTTAGAGGGCAGGGATAGGGTCTAGAGTGACCTGGACAGATTATAGGATTGGGCCAAAAGAGATCTCATGAGGTTCAACAAGGTCTAGTGTAGAGTCCTGCACTTGGGACGGAAGAATCCCAAGCATTGTTACTGGCTGGGGACCGACTGGCTAAGTAGCAGTTCTGCAGAAAAGGACCTGAGGATTACAGTGGATGAGAGGCTGGATATGAGTCAACAGTGTGTCCTTGTAGTCAAGAGGGCTAATGGAATATTAGGGTGCATTAGGAGGAGCATTGCCAGGAGATCCAGAGAAGTGATTATCCCCCGTTATTCGGCTCTGGTGAGGCCACATTTGGAGTACTGTGTCCAGTTCTGGGACCCCCACTATAGAAAGAATGTGGATGCATTGGAGAGGGTCCAGCGGAGGGCGACCAAAATGATTTGGAGGCTGGAGCATATGACCTATGAGGAAAGGCTGAGGGATTTGGGCTTGTTTAGTCTGCAGAAGAGAAGAGTGAGGGGGGATTTGATAGCAGCCTTCAAGTTCCTGAAGGGAGGTTCCAAAGAGGATGGAGTGAGGCTGTTCACAGTAGTGAGGGATGGCAGAACAAGGAGCAATGTTCTCAAGTTACAGTAGGAGAGGTCTAGGTTGGATATTAGGAAAAACTATTTCACTATGAGGGTGGTGAAGCACTGGAATAGGTTACCTAGCGAGGTGGTGGAATCTCCACCTCTAGAGATTTTTAAGTCTCGGCTTGACAAAGCCCTGGTAGGGTTGATTTAGTTGAGATTGGTCCTGCCTTGGGCAGGCGGCTGGACTTGATGACCTCCTGAAGTCTCTTCCAGCTCTGTGACTCTATGACTGAGGTTAGTATGTCTAGCCAAGGAAGAGTGTGCAGGAGCAGACTTGGGCATTAGCCGCTCTCTGTCCTCTCTCCAGGCCCCCATCTGACCGCCCCAGGCTGCAGGGGCTGGGGGAGGGGGAGGCACTTTTACCCCATTCACCCAGCCAGGCAATGGGGGGGGGCACTTTTCACTACATTTCATAGCCAGGCCATGAGGGGGAACGCTTTTCATCCTATTCCTCCAGCTGGGACTGCGGAGGGGGGTGCTCTTACCCTTCCCCGCCCCACTGGGCCTTGGGGAGGTCACTTTCTTCTGGTTGTAGATTTTTGGTAGATTCTCTGTCACTTGTAATCTTTAAATAGGGTTGCCAGGTGTCCAGTTTTGAATTGGACAGTCTGGTATTTGAGGGTTCTGTCCAGGAAAAAAGAATAAGAAAATACTGGACACATAAAATGTGCGGTATTTTCTAATTAGGTAAGTTTTAAGTTTTATTATTATTATGAGTATTAGTACGTAGTTGCGTACTGCCTGGCTGGTAGACATGCTCATGCTAC